AAAAAAAAAAAAAAAAAAAAAAAAAAAAAAAAAAAAAAAAAAAAAATCCTGCCAGAAACAGAAGTAGTAAGATTTACCTTTTAACTTATGGACTTGGAAGTGTTTGTCCCCTGAAGCAGGGGGAGGCCTGAGCAGGCAGGATGTCGACTGGGCCCTTCATGGCCCTGGAGGGGAGCGAGGCTTGTCCTGGAGGGTGCGATCTAGACTGGAGGGTCCTGGGAGAAGCCGTGACCTTGAAGAAACTAGTTGCAGGGGTGGCGCTGGGTCGGGGCTGACCTGGGAGGTGCAGATAAATCTGGAACCATCTCATGAAGCCACATGCCCTCCACTAGGGTCCTCCCTCCCAGGGGCCTGTCCTCTCAAGACGCAGCCATCACTCTTGCTTTTTTATTGTCATTAAATTCCGTAGAAACAGTGTCATTAGCTCCCAGGGTACGTGTGGGCTGAGGAGGAAGAATAATTATGGGAACCTCGGAGTTCAGCGTGATAGGGATAGTCGGTGTCACTGAATTGTCCCACGTCAGCGAACCACTCAGCACCCAGGGCCGGTCCGGAGGTTATTCTAACTAAGAAATTATTTTTATAGAAGGGGAAATTTTATGTGAAAGTCTATTTGTCTTGTTGTTTTTTTTTCTTCTAAAGTTGTGTCTCTTCGGGAATTGGATTTGCTTTGCATTATTTAATACCTCACTCTACCCCCCCCATCCCTGGCCCTCGGCCCAGCCGGATGCTCCCCGTGGAAGGGCATTCTCGTAGCAGCTCGGGCCTCAGCGCTCAGTTTCCCCATGCTGCCAGTCGCCACCTGGCTTCTGTCTCGTTCTTGGGTTTTCCTGCTGTCCGTGTTTATGTCTCTGTCCACATGTCAGTGTTAAAACCCCAGTGAGTTCCGTCTCTCCTTTTCCCTTCTGGATTTTAAATAAATATTTAAAACTGAGGCAATGGAATGACAGATCTGTGGTGTGTGCTTCTTTGAAAAGCCCGGGGAAGGTTTGTGGCGGGGCTGGAGGGTGGGGGCAAGGTGCTGGGGGGACGCCCTGCTGCTGCTGCTTCCCCCATGGGGAGGGGCAGGGCGAGAGATAGGGCACCTTGGGGGGGGCTGCTAAAAGTGAAAGAATCTTGGTTTCTTAGGGCTAGTGTAACAGTACCCCAAACCTGGTAGCTTAAAACAACAGGAATGCACTCTCTCCCAGTCCTGGAGGCTAGAAGTTTGAAATTAAAGTATTGGTAGGGCCACCACCTCTCTGCCACCTCAACGGGAGGTTTCCTACCTGGTCCAGCTTCTGCTGGCCGCAGACATTCCTGGGCTTGCAAGCCAGCACCTCAACCCCTGCCTCCGTAGTCACGACACTCTCGCTATGCGACTCTGTAGTCACATCTTTTCATAGGAGAGCAGTCATTTGGGATGAGGGCCCACCCTGGTGGCCTCTTCTTAACCTGATTACTCCCACAAAGACCCGGTTTCCAAGTAAGGCCACATTAACAGAGAAGTCCCAAGATCTGCTAAGTGAGTTGGCAAGCTGGAGACCCAGGAGGGCTGGTGGTTTAGTTCTAGTCTGAAGGCTGGCAGGCTTGAGACCCAGGAAGAACTGATGTTTCAATTCATGTCCAAAGGCAAGAAAAGGCTGATGTCCATCTCAAGCAGTTTAATTAAATATCTGGGTGCCCCATGGTTCAGTTAGTTGGCACAAAGTTCATCATACAAGTTTACTTGAGAGAAGATGAATAGAGGTTAGCCAGATGGGGAAGGGCGCTGGGGGGAGAGGAAACAGCCCCTGCCAAGGCCTGGTAGCAAAGGTGTCACTGCATATTTGGGGAACAGTAAGTAGTTCAAATGGTGTTTGGGGGTATAGGGAGGCCTGAGGCGTCATGCTGGAAATAGAACAAGCCACAGGCTTGCACGAGAGAGCAAGGTTTGGGTTGGCCAAGTTGGGTTTGGGTTGCAATGGGGCGCTGGAGCAGAGCTCTCCAGGAGGCAGCTGGCTGAGCTGGGAGGACAGGAAAGAGGTTTGAGCCACCATCTGAGCTCCAGAACCATCAGCAGCATCTGTGTAGCTTTGAAGACATGGGAGAGGAAGAAAGAGTCAGGAAGAGGGGGAAAGAGAAGAGGGGCTATGTTAAAACTGTGGCTTGCAACTCTGCTGGTCTGAATTCCAGGAGGGCCTCCCATGCTCGGCCAGTTAATGCCAGCTCATTCCCAGCAGGGGCAGGTAGGAGGTGGTTGTGTTGGGGACAAAAGGCAGCTCTTCCCAGCTCTTCCCAGGTGGGCCGTACCTGCAGTTTCCAATCTCTAATTGCACAACCGAGTGTCAGGAAAGAGCCAGAGTGGACTTCCCAGGCCTGGTGAACTCGAAGGGAAAGCCCAGGCCAGCCCGTGTTTGCTCTGTCCACAATGAATCAAGCCCCAGCCATGGCCAGTCACGTCCCACAGTGACCAACAGCCTGGAGCTGGGGAAGTAAGGGAGGGGCAGGCGAGAAGGGGAGAGGCTGGCAGGTGATTCCAGTCCCAGCTTCCTGCCTGGAACACAGCCTTGGATGGGTCATTCCCTATATCTGGGCCTCAGTTTCTCCCTCTGCAAAATGGGGATGATGGCCCTTCCCTGCTTGCCAATCACAGACAAGGCTGTTGTTTCATAATAGTGGGGTGAACCGGATGAAATGGAATGATATTCAAGTGCTTTTTGACCTACAAAATCTACAGCGTCACATGCATGGTTCAACCCAGTGACAGCACCATTCAAAATAATCGCAGCTACATTTCTTGCGCAGTGTGAACTAGGGGCCGTGTGGATAGGAGATGTTTTCAGCCTCCGCATGGCCCTCTGAGACATGCGTTATTACCCTGACTNGCAGTGTGAACTAGGGGCCGTGCGGATAGGAGATGTTTTCAGCCTCCACATGGCCCTCTGAGACATGCGTTATTACCCTGACTCTTCAGATGAGGGAGCTGAAGTCCAAAGAGGTTACACAAGTTGCCCCAAACCGCAAACCAGGATTTGAATGTTGGCAAATCTTCATTTGGGGTATTTCCTCAGCCCAACACAAAGTTCCTAATTAGGAGAGTTTTCTCTGCCAAGGTATTCTTCGTGGCTGTTCAGGCGGAAGACCACAAATTAGCCATGGGATCAGAGCTCAGCCCTGGCCTTGCTGAGGAGGTACAGATAAAGCGACGACCTCATCAAAGGAATCCTTTCAAACGGGTGCACTTCCCTGGGTACCTAAGCCTCGCCTCTCCACCATGTCACCCCCTCCCTGCTTCCTCATCTATTGAATGGGGAAAAGATCCTATGTTCTTGCTCTTACTGTACACATACTTTTGTGTTTTGATGTCTTTAGACGTGGGATGTAACTTGCAGTCGCTTAGGTAGTTACGGAAGGCAGGAATCTTTCTTCCCTCCCTCCCCAGCCCAGACTGCCATTAAACAGATGGCGGCTGGTATTGTAAATAGGCGGACCCTTCGGAACATATTTGTTTCACTTAACATGCATTTTACAAATGTGGACTGATTTCATCTTCCTGACAATTATCCCCATTTTACAGGTAGAAAAACTGAGGCACAGAGAAGTTAAGTAACTTGCCCAAGGTCACACAGCTAGCAAGTGATAGAGCCAAAAACACTCCACCACCATCCTACACTGCCCCGATGGCTTTTCTGTCTCTTTCCTGTCAAACTTCTCTTGACATAGTGCCAGGGCTAGATGAGGGGGCAGGCGATGGAGGGCTGCCCAGAATTTCAGTCCAATACAGGCATCCTTGACATTTAAGAAGATGGAGACAGTTGTACTGTGTCAGGGTGAGTGCTGGGCTCCCTTAAAGGAACTATTTGGACAGCCTCTTGGGAAGAGAGTGAGGCCTCCAAGGGGCAACCTGAGGACAGTGAGGATGGTGAGGACCCCTCACTCCTTTCCAGGAGAAGCACTCCATTTATTCACTGTAAGGGGAAATTTTATCTCTCTCTACTCACAATGCTCTGGCCACCAAATGTGTGGACTCTCCCCCACACCAAGCAATTCGACTTTCCAGGTGTTAGCTGGGTGTCCTAAAATTCCATTCAGTTCTGACACTAACCGGAGTTATCATCGCACCGCACAAGTTAAGGGCTCAGTCCCACAAGACTGTCTCCTCTCGGAGGCCAATCACAATCACAATTTGCAAGAGCAGCTCACAGGACTCAGGAAAAATAGTTTACTTACTAGGTTACCAATTTATTATAAAAGGATATACCTCAGGAACAACCAGCTAGAGGAGAGGCATAGAGCAGAGTCTGTGGGGGGAGGTTCAGAGCTTCCACGCCCTCTCTAAACAGGCCCCCGCCCCAGCACCTCCACAGGTTCCCCCCCTGGGAGCTCTCCAAGCCGTGTCATCGAGGATTTTTATGAAAACTTCCTTATGTTGGCATAAATTACTGGGCATTCATTAGTGATGGAGTCAATCTGCAGCCCCAGATCCCTCCCCAGAGTTCAGGGGTGGGGCGGAAAGTTCAACCCTCTGATAACGTGGTTGGTTCCCCTGGTAATCATCTCCCAACCAGCTCTGATCCCAAGGCTGACTAGGACCCCCAGATGCCCCCACCTCATTAGCATGAAAAAGATACTTGTGGCCTTGAAGATTCAGAGGGTTTTAGGAGAGGTGTGCTAGGAAATGGAGATAGAGACCATCTATATTTCTTATTATATCACACTCACCCCCTGGAGGTCTTTGTGTGTGTGTTTTTGTTGTTCTAATCCTCACACGAGGGCATTTTTTCCATTTTGAGAGTGGAAGGGAGAGAGGAGGGGAGAGAGATTGGTTGCCTCCCTCACACTCCCCACCAGGGCCGGGGATCAAACCTGCAACCCAGGTACTTTCCTGCCCTTGACCAGGAATCGAACCCACGACTCCTCGGTGCTGGGGTCAATGCTCTAACTGCTGAGCCACACTGGCCAGGGCTCTGGTGCTGCTTTGAGGGGCATACAGATTAGGCCAGAGCTGAATCTCTCTGGACAAAAAAAAGACCAAACCCACTCTTTGCTTGGGTCTCCCCCTGGGTAACTGCAGTTATCGTAGCGCCTTTCCTGGGGCAGGTCCTCTATCTGAAATTCTTTCAGGCAGTTATGGCGAAGATTACAGGTTCTTCGTGGGCCTCCTGGGCCTTGACTGCGTTCAGCTCAAAATCAGCTGCTGAATGGCACCTCTTGGGGTGCTCATTCTGAACCCCTCAGAATATACAGCATACTCTTCAAGTCCTGCTTCCTTTGCTCAGCATCATGGTTTTGAGATTCATTCATATTGCTCCATGTGTAAGTAGTTCATTTCTTTTCATTGCTAAGTAATATTTCATTGCATGAAAATGCTATAATTTGTTTTTCCATTTTCTTGCTGACAGACATTTGAATTGCTTCTAGTTTGGGGCTATTTTAAATAACACTAAAGTCTTACACAGGACATACGCTTTCCTTCCTCTGGAATGGTGTGGAAATTTTAGAAAGCAGTCGTCACTCCTGACACCTGTGGTCAGAAGGAAAATCACAATGTAAGATGCGATGGACCATTATATCTCAATAAAGCTGGAAACAATAAAATAAAAGGCTACAGATACAGAGAGAGGACATAAAAATTATTCAAAATATATAAACAAGAATACAAAGTTGTAAGCATACCATAATACTTTTTCAAAGTACTTGTTTGTACGGATCAGAATTTGACCCCGACATGTAGAAATGCAAAGGGTAGCAGAACTGGTGATTCCGCGGTGTTTCCTGAGCGCCCCCTGTGAGCTGGGCATTGATCCGGGACTGGGACATGCTGGTGAAAAGAGGCAGGCTTCCTGCCTGAATAGCAGAGGGTAAAGTCGACACAGGGAAAGCTTCTTGTTTTAGAGGTTGGGAGATGGTTCAAGTGATATATTTACTGAAATTAGGCGTTCAACCTAATGCTCCCTTGTTTTGGAAATGTCCCTGCCTGCGGGACTGGGTTGGGGCCTCTCTGGACCTTTGCTCTTTCACAGTTGTTACCACACTCAATTGGAAGTGAACCCATGTTTGCCCTCCCCCACCCCTAAACCCCTCCCTGACCCCATTACCCCCTACACCCCAGGCTAGCCCGGGAACTCTCCAAATTGCCTTTAGCGTTTGATTTATGACTGGGTCCCTCTCAAGCCTTGGCACCCAGTGGGACAAGAAGTGGGTGAAACCTGGACGGTTTGCTTAGAGGCCCCTCTCCTGAGATCTAGCAGCGTTAACTAATATCACTTCAGCCCATGGCTGCCTTGGCCTTGAACAGCCAGAACTTCGGGCCCTGGCCACAAGGTCAGGGACCCAAACTAGACCTGGGCTTGGAGGCTTTACCTGCTGTTGGCTTTTGGGAAAGCAGGGAAGGGTTTTGTGTACAGCATTTCCCAAGTGCTTACCCGATTGTGTCACAGCAGGTCCCAGGGCCCCACCCACAGCTCACTATAAAGGTCACTGCACCCTTCAGCCTCCAGTACCGCCTGACTCTAGGTGCATCTCGGTCTTGACATGGCGTTGCCCTGGGCCCTCGCAGTCTTGAGCCTTTTTCCTCTCCTGGACGCCCATAGCCCGACATGTACCAATTTCTCAGTGCCTATCACCAATGCCACCCTTGACCAGGTGGGTGCCTGGGCCCCTGAACGCCGTGGGCAGCTGTCTCCCCCTCTGGGCTTCCCTTTCCCGTCGGCTCGGGGCCAGCCCCCTCTCCTGACTCTGCCCTTCTCTCCTGGGCGCTGCAGGGAAAATCTGGCCAGCCTCAGGGGCATTCCTCTGCCCCCAAGCTCAGAGGCCTCATGGCAAAGCCCCCAAGCAGGGCAATGCTATACCCGGCAAGGAGGGGCCCCCGGGCAGGGGTGATGGCTGATACTTAGGGCGAGCTCCTGCGTGCCCACTCCTTCCTGGAGCTCCCAGTCACCCGATGGAAAGTGGAGAGATCTGCCCGAGTCTCCTCCCAGCTGACTGTTAAGGATTTGGCTCCCAGCCTCCATCACCTGCTCCTGGCTTCTCCCTAGGTCTCTGGCAAATGGTTCTATATCGCCTCGGTTTTCCACCTCCCCGAGTACAAGGAGTCGACTAAGAAAATCCAGGCAGCTTTCTTCTACTTTGCTCCCAACCACGAGGAGGACACGTTGCTGCTCAGAGAGTACACTACCATGTAAGACACCGTGCTGCTCAGAGAGTACACGGCCCTGTGAGACCCGCAAGCACGTGCGGGCTCAGCCCAGCCCCA